TGACTAGGTTTTTTTTTCTTAAGACAATAATATTGCAATAGCCTCTATCGGGTATATGTCAAGAATAACGATAGCCAACAGCAATCGCGCACGCATATGCTGTGTCAATTACCTGCACCAGGACCCGCTTGCGCGGTATACAAGTACGCAACAGCTACAGTAACTCTTGCAATTACCTTCGTCCACACAACTTCTTTCTCAAACGGAACATCACTGTTTTGGTGCTGTTGTTGAATTTATGTGAATAAAAACAAGAAAATTTGTAGTGTTACATTTAAATCAGTGATTTTTCAGTTCTCAGAATATTCCTATAATATTCGTCATGTCTGTCATGCTTTTTCGCAAGAAGTAGTATTGGAAGTGGAAATGATACCGCTGTAATAGCAAAATGCAAGCAATGATGAAATCAAGCTGTGCCTGTTCAGATCAATCCGCATTTAGTGTTCGGTTTGTGACGAATTGTCATAACATTCAGGATCTGCTTCATATCAGACGGTTCTTTCAGTTCCTACTACTTCTTAAATAGCAATGGTAGAATAGATTATAAGGGTAACGTAACATCAGGGAGGATCTAAGAACCTCGTTCGCACTTCAGAGATCGCCCAGAGGGATGATCGAGCCAAAGATTTATCTCTGGATGAATCGCTACAAATTCTTAGGCCATCATTCTCCAAACGACATTTCAAACAGACTAATTTCAGAATGATTTCCTGGATATGTCTAAATATCTGTCATTTTCATCGTCAGCATTGTAATCATGACCTAGTTGTTTAATTTTCTGTGGCTATCAGCGCCTGTTTCTTCAAAATGACGAGGAAATTATTAGGCGTCGGTTGAAAATGTTGGATTGATCAACAGTTAAATTTTATTGAACAGACATCTTAGAAATAATTCATTCCTAGTCTGATTCTTTTCTCCTTTTGCCTTTCTCGAACAACGCGGAAATAGTCAAAGCAGAGCAATGCAAAGCCTTCATCCTCAAATAGTTTATCTTCTAAACCTACACCTCCGCTTACACATTCCGCGACATATTCGGTTGAGCGGAGCCCTCCCGTGCCTTTCGTAACGCACGCAGCATGTTCCGCGGGCGTATGCTTTTTGAAAGCGAGGCTATTTGCAGGCAGCTTAGGGTGGCAGCGGCGGCTGGTGCAAGCTATCGTTATTCTTGACCGCCACCCCCTTTATTCTGTAAGACCCATAATTTCCTAGTGTTTATAAATTGGATAATGTTCTCATCCGCTTCTTTCCTATGGATGGTAGCGACGTTTGCATAAGTTTTGCCTACATGCCTACTTAAGAAAGTTTTTATGTCTTCCCATAAAGTATCCAAGTAGCAATTTTAAGCTTTTAGAGTATCTCAAGCCTATGGTAATCAGAAGCGTCTTGATGTGGAAGCTAAACGATTTGAGAATAACGCTGCAGCGCTTGCAAAGCAGTCGGAACAATGGCTGGCGATCACCGAATCACTTAACCATGCCCTCAAGGTTGTCAAGTTTTCTTTAACATTAAAAAAATCATGAAGGACATGTTCGTTCGTTACATGAGTAAAATTACTTTAGGAGATTGGTGACGTAGAAAATTGGGCTAAAGCCATTCAACACGACATGACAGTCATTTCGACAACATTGCAACGGGTTTATCAAGGTAATACGATATCTGAACTC